CTCAATGTTTCTTGTTTTATTCTTTGTTCATTGTTTGGGCGCCATCAATAATCATCATTGAAGATGATGATGATCATTTGTCACAAATAATAATGAAAATGATCATAAAGCTACTGTTTGTTTCTATTCAATATGTTTTTTCGTCTTGTTATTACAAAAAAAAGAAGAAATTCTTATTTTTTTCTTTGAATTGAATAGCCATTGGCTATTTATTACATTACAGTATATGTTTGAAATAAAATGATTCTTATTAAATCATTCATTTGAAATGAAATGAAATGATTTAACTTGATGATTTTATTCAAATTCAATTGGATATGATAATAATAATGTTATAGACATACCAAAGATATACAACAAACAAACAAATTGAAAATCAAATATAATCAATTGCCTAAAGGTTATTCTATAGAATTGTCAATATCAACATGAAGAAAAACCTTTATAAGATAATGATGATTTACCAGACTAATAATAATGAATTATACAAATTAATTTTTCAATTTAAGCAATGTTTTTTATGTAATCATTACTAATGATAATTTCAATGATAATGATGAATATTCATGTTGAATTCAAATATGAATGATTGAATGAATGATATTGAAAATCAAAAATCAATTAGTCTTTATTTGAACCTAATGATTTTCAAATCGAATTTTGAAATCGAAAATTGGTTAATGTTCTGATCATGGTGTTTGTTTGCCATTTTGTTTTGTTTCGTTTTCTCCAAATGATCATCTATAATCAGAAAACAGAGAACAAAATTGATCAATCGATCGAATGAATAAATCAATTTGATTCGATTCAAATTGTATGAAATTCATTTGTTTTTTTTAACCAAAAATAAATCATGTTTTTTAGGAATAAATTCGTAGAATTTTTTTTTTCTTTCGTGGACGATTGCTGACCATTGTGTCTTGGTCGATTGGTTGACTGGCTAGCTGGTTGGTTGGTTGATTTGTATACAAACCTAGTAATCAAATTCAATTATTTCATCATCATAAGTCATATTCATTGTCATTGTGTTCAATGTAGAAATAATAATGAAAAAAAATAAAATGTTTGGGTAAAGAGGGAAGAGAAGATGAAGGGGGTTTTCATCATCATGATGAAGATCACGAAGATTGGCCAATCAAAGCCGGATCCATTCAACAACAACAGCAAAAGTTCCAGACATGACAAACAACCAATCCATATTATTATCCACAATCATCATCATACATTTGGACAACAACAACAACAAATGCAAAAAATCAATTTCAATTTGACTGACCAACCGATCAGTAACAAAACAAAAAAAAATTGTGCGTTTTTTCATATGAAAAGTCGATTTTGTTGTTGGTCAACGATTTTTTTTGTTGCACCATTTTTTTTTGATGACAAAATTGATTTCGACTTTTTTTATCTTCTTTTGAAAGCTCAGCTGAATGTAGTGATGACACCTCCTTGGTTGATTTTCATCCATCTCTCTCTTGATTGACAACAAAATAAACGAATACGATCCATTTGGTCTAAGGTCTAACATGCAAATTGTTATGAGATTTTTTTTCTTTAATTCGGTCAAAAATGATGATAAATACACTACCATCACACTACATTTAGAATCTTTTAAACCAGACTTGGTGATATTTGATTTTATTTGAGAAATTGAAATCGATCATCATGTGTCGCCATCATGTCCGTCATGATGATGATCGGGCCACTTGATCAATTGAGGGGTCATCACATGGCTCTATATTTTGGTTTTCTTACACCATGATGATGATGATGATGATGATGACGATTATGATTGGCCGTCGATTTCATCGATGGTCAATCATTGAAAAAGCCGCCAATGAATAATATATACAACAGACAGGCTGGCAAACCACAATGATGATGATGATGATAATGGGGCTCATCATACCACCATCATCATCATCATCACTATCATGAAATGAAACTAAAACCACATAGGGGTATTTTCAATTTGAAAAAGAAAAAGAAGAAGAAGAAAAAAAAATCCCGAAAAAAGGCAGGTAATTGAAGACTATCGCCGATCTTCGAGTGTGTGTATGTGTGTATGGACCAATTTTCGCCAATTCCTCATCATCATTTGAATGGTAGATAAATTTTGTCGATAATGACACAGTGTGTCCACAATCAATGATGATGATGACGACAATGATGACCAGCCTGAATTGAATGAATATCAAAAAAATGAGTAGAATCTATCAAATGTCGAATAAATAGAGAGAGAGAAAAAAAGATAATGACAACTAAAATTTTTCGTTGTTAGTTGGATTTTTGGTTTTGGCTATTTTTTTTTGTGAAAAGCCAGCTGAGAGAATTGACTTGTGGTCAATTTTTTTTTTGGCACTATATATTCTTGATATGCAATGTGTGTGTGTGTGTGGCTATAACCTATGATTATGTCAGTCACATCGATAGAAATTGACGAAAAAAAAGAGAGTGAGATAGAGAGTGGACATAGAATGATGGCTGGCTGGCTGGTTCATCATCATCATCACTATTCATTTCAATTTTGGTTATGGACCAAACGATTGACAACAACGAATGACGATTTGAAAATGTTTGTTGTTTGTTCGTTTGTTGTTTGAATGAAAATTGGAACCAGAAAAAAAAAAATTTTTACTTGGAACCAAATGACGGATGAAAAAAAACGAATGTAAAATGTATTTCTAATAGTTTTTTCTTTTTCTTGCTTGATCTCAGCTGCAATTTTCGATGATAGACATTTAATTCATTCATTTTTTGTCGATAATTGTGACAGCAGTCAGCCGTTTCTTGTTGGAAAAAAAATCATTTGTTAATCGTTGCTCGTTAACTAATATGAGACTGGTGTATTCAAAAAAGTAGAAAATTTGCATATACAGAATGAGAAGATAGCGCCAATCAGTCGATGATGATCAGGCCATTCGCAAACTTGATTTTGTTTTTCCTGAAGTAAAATCTACCTAAAAAAAACATCTCTTTTTTTTACACCCATAATTTCTGATCTGTGATACAGATGAACCGACTAGATGACGCCAATATGGATTGAATTTTTGTCTCTTTTTTTTTCAGAAAAATTTCGAAGGTCAGTTTAAATATTCAATGAAAACGAAAACGACAACGACGACGACGACAATGATAATGATGTTTAATGATGACCAGACAATGTTTTAATGTCTCCACTTTACCAATAATAATGGTAATGACATTGACATAATGATGATTATCATCAATTTGGTCAAATCAATTTTTCTAATTATTTGCGTTTGTTTGTTCCCAACTTACAAAAAGAAATGGAAATTTTTAAAAAATTGAAAATAAAAATCCAGATTAAAATTTCAGCAAGTTTGGTCGTTTGGCGATAGAGGACGTTACTCGTATCAAAATAATATCTTTCTTTTTAAAAATTGTAATATTCATGCATGCATGAATACCATTGTTTGTCGATCGCTGGTTGATTTATATTCATCAAATATATGCAATTAATTAATTGATTTTAATTGATCAAATTAAAAAAAAGAAAAAAAAACAAAGGTAGCAAGCAAAGAAAATCTTATTTTGATTAATGAGGATTTATACGGTATACGGGATGCCGATTTTCGTTTGTTTCAATTGTTTGTCAAACATGTCATCATCATAATAATTTAAATGAAAATTGAATTGAATCGGTCGATTTAAAATAATAAATAAATAAATAATCATAACCTTTACAACCAAGACACTAAATGATGATATGTAATTAAATTAAATTAAATCTTTATATTCATTTTTCATTGTTTTTTTTTAATCAAAAAATGATAATAATTGTTGGTTGATTATGAATATTTTCATGATTTTCATAGACGAGATTTATGTGTTTTTCTTCATTCAAGATAAATAAATAAATCAAAAGATTACACATTCAGAATGTTCGTGTTGTGACACAGTGCACACACACTGATTTTTTTTTTTGGTTCGACGAATAACGAAAACAAAAACCAATATTGAACCATGTTGTTGGTTGATCAAATATTATTATTATCGATATGTGAATCCATCCACACACAACATCGAATGATTGATGACATTATTCATCATCAGGATGATCTTTCACTTCAGTGTTTAACACACACAAACATTACACAGGTAAAAATTGCCGTTGTTGTCATCACCCCATCGATGATTGATCGATTTTTTCCTTTCCTCTCTTTCTCTCTCTCTCTCTCTCTTTTTTCATTCGCTATTTTAATTTTGTCCATTCGATTCATTGACAATCAAAAACAAAACAAAATTTCATTTTATAATAATTAATTTTTATTATTTTTCATGAATTAATTTAAATTAACTAAGTTTTTTTTTCGTTGTTGAAATTACAAGCAAAAAAATGAATTGAATCGAATTGTGTAAGTTTGAAGAATGTTTGTTTGTGTATGTGTGATGGGTGTAAGGAAAAAATTATCATTCGAAAGCACGTGCAAAAGCATGTGTACCATTTTTATTTGAAATTCAAAATTGGGTGAGAAAGAATGGAATGGAGAAAAAAACACAGAAAGAAAGCAGAAAACAAAATTCTTGAAATAAAATAAAAGTTGATTTGATTTGTTGTTTGTCCTGAAAAAATCGATCAATAAATTCAACTAATTTTTGATATATTTACAAATGATTGAAAAATTTTTGTTTTTTTTTCAACTAATTCAAACAACAATAATAATAATAAGATGAAATGTCATCAAAAATGAATTGATTCAATTGTTTGTTCGTTTGTTTGTCCACAGGCGGGAAAGAAAAAATTTAATTTAAAAAAAAAACAATGAACAAAATGAACAAAACAATAAATGCAATGAATGAATTAATGAATGAATGGATGATGACCATCGGTCAGAATGATGATAATATTATGTGTATGTTGCGTGGGTGTATACAGTTGGTGATTGAAAAAAAAGAAATTTTGCTTGTTGGTTTTTTTTGATGATCATAAATCAATAATCAAATGACTATCATGATTTTAATGTGTTTTTTTTAAATAAATATATTTATCGAGCTCATCTAATTTTCATCATTATTATTATTAATATAAACATCACCATTTGATCGATAATTCGGATGGCATTAGACCGGGTGGTGTTGACATTTGATGATGATTAGGTGTTGCCTGTTGATTATTATTATTTTCATTATCGCTACAATTTCCATTTTCTTTTTTACCATTGCCAATAATATTTTCATTACCATTATGTGTTTTAACATGTTTACTAAGATGATCGGAGCGCATAAAACGTTTATTACAAACTGGACATGAAAAACGTTTTTCACCAGTATGTGTTCGCAAATGACGCTGTAATTCATCTGAACGTGTAAAACGTTTGCCACAAAAAAGCCAATTACAAACGAATGGCCTTTCACCAGTATGCCATCTTAAATGTGCTTTTAAATGTGATGTTTTTCCATAAACTTTACCACAGCCTGGTATATGACAACTATGGATATTCTTTTTGCGTAGATGAGCACCAGCCGGTCCTAAACGTTCGGCCTCTTGACAATTGGGACAATCACAGGTAGCACGCCCAGTATATCGACGTTGTGATCGAGATGATGTTGTTGTCGTTGTTGTTGTTGTCAATGATGATTGATTGGCCGATGAAGCAGCAGGAGGAACCGAGGCAGTGATCGCTGCAGTCGTTGATTGTGGTGCCGTAGATAGACCAAATGGTGATGTTGACGTGGGATTCTGGTGACTGGTAGGCAACACCGATTTATACGTATCTTGCAACAAATGTTGACCAGATGCAGAAAGTAGTGGATGGGCAGTTGCCGCAGCTGCAGCCGATTGTGCTGCGGCAGCAGCGGCTGCTAATGATGATCCAAGGCCATAATCAGAAGCTGATGAACCATATGCATTAGATTGTAACCCAGTATGAAGTCCAGTACCGGTAGTCGCAGATGTAGGTGCCATATCAAGCCAACTACTAGTCGCAGTGGGCATTTCCCACCAATTTGATGAATGATGATGATGATGGGAGGCTGGATGATGATTCAATGTCGATTGTGAAACGGGCTCATTTTTAATACAAGCCCCATGATGATGACCAGAAGTATTCATTCCAAATGGCCAGCTATCTACAGCATATGGATTAGCCATTCGAGAATACATATGACTGGTGCCAAGATGATGATTATTCGTAGCAATATGATTCGTATGATGTGCGTGTGTATGATGATCACCCGGATGATGATGATGAGGATGATGTGAATGCATTTTACTGAAAAAGCTCGAAGATTGTCCTGTTGAACCTAAATTACCACTTCCATCTAACATACAGGAATTAGTCACAGAAGAATGAGGTGGTGCCGGTTGATATACACTAAATATACTATCTGTATTATAACCGATATTTGAAATATTATTATTATTATTATTATTATTAGAATTGGGCGTTGAATTCAATGGTGACCGATTATTATTATTATTTGAATGTGATGTATTATACATAGATTGACCCATCGATGTTGGTGGTGAACCATCATTCGATGATGATGATGCTCGTTGTTGAGGTAAACCAGCATTTGGTGGTGCTGCTGAATTTGGTGATGGTGTATGATGATTGATTGGTGGTGAAATCGATTGATTATGATTATTTCCGGTTGTGTTTGTCGTTGTATTTGTTGTCGTTGAATTTGATGAAGCTGATGATGATGTTGCTTTTTTCCATGGATGAAAACTTTTACCAACGGCTGCATCAGCCAATGGTGGTGGTGTTTTCGATGCTAATTTATTGCATTGTGCTGTTAACATTGCTAATGGATTTGTTGTACCACCATTACTGCCACCACCAACTATACGTGTTGTAGCCGGTTCCTATAGAATAAAAATAAAACAAAACAAAACAAAAAACATTAGTAATCACGTGAGATAAAAGTGTCAAAAAAAAGTAAGTTTGAATACTGTCATTTGATACCTGATCCAAACAGAACAGAATATCGGCCAGGTTCATTCATTCATGAATCCATCTGCCACGTCAATTTTATATGTTTGTGTTTGTAAACATGATATTCATCAATTTGATCGATGAATTTTCGTGATAATCTCTAACCTATCCTATTGCTGTTTTAGAATAATATCCAATTCACCAATAATACTCATAGATAGATGTCATTATATCTAATTATCGAATCAAATAGACTCGATAAAATTCGTTCATTGCCATCAAAAAAACAGAAATTGTTGCCTGCATCAAATGATATGATCAATTCGTAGGGTTCGTATATTAATGATTAAAAGCAAGAAAATTATTATTGATTTAATCAGAATCGAAACAACGATGATGATGATGATGATCAGATGAGAGAGCCACACCTCAAATCAGATCGAGTTTGTCTCGCTTTAAACATATCAAAAAACACTCGTATCATCATTGTCGAGATTTTTTTGTTTTGTTTTGGTTTTTTTTCGGGTGGAGTACACAGCCCGGTCATCCATCGTTATTATCGCTTTTTAACCATGGTTTTATTATTATCACAACCAAATAGATCTACTAATAGAAAACAAAACGTATCACTTTTGAATTTTTTTTATAAACAAAAATTAAAAAGAAGAAGAATAATAAATAATATCCACAAAACCACACACACAGGTATAATAGGCTATTTAAACATAAATAAACATCGGATAGTGATAATAGGTGATGATCGAAAAACAAACACAAAAACAAAATTTCTTAAAAATCTTTATATGATCCGGTCATCAATTTGTTGTTGCCATTATTTAAACATCATTATCATCAAAAATGATGATGGTTAAATGATTATCTTGTGTTTGATAAACATTTACGTTTGTTAAGTGACAAAAACTAACAACTTCAATCAAGACAACCAAAAAAAACTCACAGGTAGAATTTGTTTTTGTTTTGTTTTTTTCCTGAGAATTTTTCTTATTCGTTTTTTTTCTTCTCCAGTTTGTTTGTCGTTCATCGGTCAATTCAATCCGATGATCGATGATGCATGACATGATTGAAATTATTTATTTGTTGAACAACAACGTTTCAGAAAAAAAATTCACTTGTGAGTAGATAGATCTATTGTTTTTTGCATTATTTTCCTATATATGACTTTGTGTTTAGCTTAATTATCACATTGTTATCGAACCAAACAAACAAACCCAAAACTAATATACAGAATTCTTCAATCATATTGTGTGTATTTGACAATATTTATGAGCTTTCGATAAGCTCGAATCAACTTTTGAAAAAAAAAGTTTATTTTTCCAACAAGAAAAAAAATGAAATAACAAGCGACAAATCAAACGAAACAAAGACAACGAAACTCTTTGAATAAAATTCATTGCAAATTCTCATTCACATCAAACAAAAATGCGATTTTATTTTTGTTACAATGTTTTTTTCATAATCTAAATAACGAATTGATTCACTATTTAATAATGACACAAATCGATAGTTTTGTCTTCCGCATATTTATCGAATCGATATTGATCATTTAAATATTCATTTTCATTCACACATTGCTGTTGTTGTCTTCGTTTTCTTTGCAGAACAAAAATTTTTTTTCATAAACCAGAAAAGAAACACTGAAAAATTGTTCAGAAACAATATTTCGTCACACAGAGAGAAACAAATAATGAAAAAAATGTATAATAAATCATCAGAATCGAACAACAACAGAAAAAAACACGGTAAATATCGAAGAAGAAAAAAATGTAATTATCGAATCGCTTCTGACAGTAATTATCTCTTCTGTTTTAAACAAGCAAGCTAAAAAACGAAAAAAAAAATTCTTCAATCATTATCATCGTCATAAAATGATTTGACCTTTTCCGAAAAAACAAAATAATAATATTCGAAAAACGCATGCGTACAATGATTATCATCGAATCGAATCGAATGAATTCGAATCTTATTCGATGCTCACATTTTGAGCCACGATCTTTGTTGTTGTTATTGTTGTTGCTGTGAAATAACATCCATCGAAATCGATATTTGAAAAAAATGATAAAAATTATTAATTTAAGCCAAACTACCCGTTCAATGGTTTTTCGTTGTTGTTGTTGTTGCTATTGTCGATAAATATGCATTATGCATTAGGATCTTCATCATTATCATCATCATCATTTTTGATCATATCTCTTATCATCTAAAGCACGTCTTTTTTAAAAAATTTCGTTCAAGTAAGAAAAAAGTCGGTACTGTGTTTTTTTTAACTGCCGAACAAAACAAAAAAAAAATCACAGAATCCATCGATATAAACAACAAAAAATGAAAGAAATTGGTTTGATTTATGATCCAAACACAACGATAAAGAAAATTAGCTCAAACAAGAGAAGAAAAAAAAAAGATTAACGAGAGTAAGAAAAGATCAAAAGTCAAATCAGTAACAATAACAACAACAACAACAAGAAATTTGATCTTTTTTACGGAGCTTTTTATATTTTTATCGACAAAAACAAAAATGATGATAATGATGAAAAAAATTCTCGATCACGAACAAGGTGTTAAGAGAGAGTGAGTGAGAGAGAGGAATCATCTAATTTGGTTCGTGTATTGGGCCATCTGCCTTATGGCCATATAAACGGAAAAAAACACATTCGCCAAACAAAAACTTGGATTACATTAATTAATTTAATACACCATTATATTGATGGGCAACAAAATTTTTATTTTTCATTTTGAAACAACAAATTTTTAACTAATGATTCATTCATCAACAAAGAAAAATCATGAACGATAATAATTTGTTATCGAAGTTTTTGTTTCTGTTTTGATTCGATGCAAAACAAAAAACAATTTTTAAAATCTCAAATTTCATAGAATTTAGATTTTTCAAACATTTTGCCTGGTGTTTAGACAAATCAGCAAACGCTGTGTTAATGATGATACCAGAAAAATTATAAGAAATTCAAGGCAAATTGTGTGTGATGGTAATCGATCACATCGACACCCAATGAATTGTTTTGTTTCACCATTCACACACACACGCGTACGTATATAGTTCAATGGATTCATGCATATTCACCCGTTTATCATTGTTTCCTATTGTCATTTATTTTTTTTTGTTCATTGGTTGCTGTCCGTGACACTTTTGTTTGTTTGTTTGAATGATGACAAAATAATTGACGACAAAAACAAATTCACAAAATGAACAATTCGAAATGTCGATGATCGTAATGTAATTTCGTAGGTTCAAAATCAAAAATCAGAAAAAAAACTTCGAGCTGGACAATCAATATGAAAATCAATCAATTTTTGAAAAGAAAATTGATTTCTTTCCTTATTATCTACATTACATCATTAAACATCAACGATGATGTTTGATTTCAAAGAAAAAGAAAAAAAGAAATCAACATTGAAATGATATCAAGATCTGAAATGATTTGCAAAGAATTTTTTTCCCTCTACGAAAAGAAAACAGAAAGATCAATTGTCCTGTCAATAATAATGTTGTTTTTTTTTCTCATTCTTTGATTCGATTCTTTTGCACATGTCATCATCATCATCATCTGAATTTTGTTTATGTATTGCATTCAATTTTCTTTTTCAAATGTTTTTCATTTTTCAAACAACAACAACAAAACGTATAATTAAAAATTTTACCTACACCGATATGCTTTTAATAGAAAAATTTGAAAATCATCATCATCAACAACAACAACAACAAGCGAAAATGTTTCAATGTAACAGTTACATTATTTTTTTTTCGGTTGATGATTCGATTCCTTTACTTTTTTTCTGGTCAGATCCATGCTTTTGTTGTTGTTGATGGTGAAAAAAATGATCTGATTTTTCAGTTTGATCTTTTCCCTCTCTCTCTCTCTCTCTCTCTCTCTCTCTCTCTCTCTTTTCTTCTTTCAAACCTGTCAAACAATTTCGTTTTTTGAAAAATTTTTTCATCCTTGATTGTTCTACAAGTTTGATTTTGTTTTAGGCTTGTTGTTTTAATTAATTGATTCTTTGTTTTGTTTTTTTTTCTTTATTTTACTTCAGGGCCAATTAAGAGTCCTGGTCCTGGTTGTCTTCAATGTTTGTGTGTGTGTGAAATTGAGAACAAATATTCGGTAAGGAAGAAAGCGAGAGAATCGAACCGATCGAAAAAAAATGAAACATTTTTTTTTTTTGGCAAATCTTCGACGTTCATCATCAATTATAAATGATACTTTCCCGTATTTGTTGTTTGTAAAATTTTTGACAATAAAATTACACCAGCACCAAATCAATACAACAACAACAACAACGATGAAACTTTCTTGTTCTTTTACATGATGATCGAATACATTTCTGTCTAACAACAACAACAACAAGAATTTTATGGGAAAAAAAAATTGAAAACAGAATTGGAAATTTGAAACAACAACAAGATATTATTTTGAATGGAATTGGATTTTTTTCCTTTTTTTGTTTGTTCAGAATCAATGATAGTTAATCAATCATAATCATCATTACACAATGATTGATTGATTGATATCGAATTTCATTTCAATTTTTTTTCGCTTGCTTGTTTCTCAATTGAAGAATTCAAAAAAAAAGTTGAAATTCAGATCAATATCAAAGATATACGATTGGTCAATGTACGGAATAAACATAAATCAATCGTTACATAATTGATCAAACTTTGAAAGAAAAAATCCAGAGAAGGATAGATATTTTGGCAAATTAAAATTAAAAATTTTTTTCCTATCCACTATCCACTATCTCATACCACCTATTCACCTCTATACCTTCCCCCTACCATCGAAAAATAATCGAAAAAAATTCAAATTCTTGAAAAAAAAGATAATATTGTAATGATACGTAAGATGTGTGTGTGTGTGCATCATGTGTATTAATATTTCATTCATCATAATGATGATGATCATTATCATCATCATAATTTTATTAATGAATCTATCCAGAAGACTATTAATGCGCGCGTATTATTATCATCATCATCATCAATTCAATGTGAATCGTGAGCATTATCATCATCATGAATCGTGTATTGTATCAATTGCAATAAGTAATTTGAGAATTATGAACACCAAACAGCGAAAAAAAACGCTATTTAATTACTTTGCATTTTGATTTTTTTCATTTTATTTCATTGATAATAAT